GCGTTCAGGTTAGGTACCGCGCTGTGCTGGGTCCCTGCTCAGCAGCATCTATATGAGGCGTTCAGGTTAGGTACCGCGCTGTGCTGGGTCCCTGCTCAGCAGCATCTATATGAGGCGTTCAGGTTAGGTACCGCCCTGTGCTGGGTCCCTGCTCAGCTGCATCTATATGAGGCGTTCAGATTAGGTACCGCCCTGTGCTGGGTCCCTGCTCAGCTGCATCTATATGAGGCGTTCAGGTTAGGTATCGCACTGTGTTGGGTCCCTGCATGACCTACATTCTTGTGGTCAAGGCCATGAAGGAGTCTCTGTTCAACCCTGGCACACTAAATGTGTTGCATCAGGATGTCAGATGTTCTTGTAAGTACAAAGAAAGGTTGTGTTGCGTCTCCATCCAGGACCCTAAATTCAACCGCATTGCTCAGTGGACCAACGTCAGGACCGACCAAAAAATCCAGCAGCTTTCTCACCCTTTGAGTTCAGAGGCTCCACTGGGTGGCTATGTGCTGAGGGTCTTCTCCGGACAACACCGGAGCCATTACAACTTCAAAGTCATGGATTATGGTGAGTTTTCCGTGGATCTCTGTCACAGTTGTTTACAAGTATATTAATATGCTGTAACCAGTCAAAGACTTAAGGGCTCCCTGCAATCCTGACAAGGATCAGCAGCTGGAGATGGGTGGATGTATCCAGTTAATCCTGAGATCTTACATGTTTCTGCCCTCTGACCCCCCCTAGTTTTGCCACGGTTTGAGGTATCCCTGAAGGTCCCGTCAAAGGTCTACATTCTGGAAAGCCAGCTGAAGGTTTCCGTGTGTGGAAGGTGGGTGTAGCTCGCACTGACTTTCCTAGGCCGTTGCTCACAGAGTGCGTTAACAAGCAGACATGCGTGAGCGCAGTGGGCCTCTCTGCTCTGTCATTCAGGTACACGTACGGCCAAGCAGTGCCGGGAAAGGCCAGTTTTGAACTGTGTCTCAGCTGCCCCCTGAAGGATGTTTGCTGCCGTCATGCTGAATCTGTACAGGTGAGAAGGAGGACAAGCCGTCTGCTCGCTGATTGGCTGGCATGCTCCTGAAACACGGTACATGCTGGAGGACAGAAAATCAAGTTTAATGTGGCCCAGTATCTCGCGTTTACAAGTTTCTGACTTTTGAATTAGGCTGTTTCTGAGAAGGTTCTTCAATTTGACACATCTCCTTCTCGGTGATTCCTGTGACCACAGCTAGAGAAATCGGGCTGCGCCTCCCACATCTTCGACATGTTCTTCTTCTATAACTCCACCGCCATGGGTCTGGAAACGCTGATGTTTAATGCCACAGTGGAGGAGGAGGAAACAGGTAACGCTGCAGGGCAAAACGCTAATGCTGGCACATTGGGACGAAAATGTAGGAGAACAAAAGTCATTTACACCTAGAGACGTGACAGGTGCCATTACACTGGTCAGTTTGCAGTGTTTCCCCTGTAGGTATCATTCTGGCAAAGAGCACACCCATAGATATGGTGAAAAGGATCGGATCTGTTTCCTTTGTCGACACACCTGCGTTTTATGAGCCTGGATCAACCATTGAGGGAAAGGTACTGTAGGTGCCCTCGGACGAAGACGTACATTCCCTCTTTTTTATTTGTGTTATTGTATCTAAGTTAAATGTAGGTGTTTTGCATAATTGATGTGACAGTATTTGGCAGACATGAACTTTTAATGCATTTTGCCTTTTCCCCCAGATCAAAGTGACATATTATAATGACACGCCAGTAGCCAATGCTGAGCTCCAGCTGCTTCAGGGATACTGGTACAACAGGGTACCATTGCTTAATGGTACTACTAACGCAGATGGCATACTTTCATTCTCCATCAATACAACAGTGTTCACTGGATCCCGCGTAAATTTGATGGTAAACTGCCTCTTCTCTCTTCTAGCCTCCTGTGCGGCTCAGTCATGCTCTGTGACGCTGCAGCCATCTTGCTGAGTGCATGAATCTGTTTGCTTTTTCAGGCCACATGCAAGTCCCTTCTGGTCCCTGGGTTTGGGCTTCTGTACGGAACTTTCAATGAGCCCACGGAAACCCTGTCAGCTATTGAAGCTGAAGCTCCCCACAGACAGACATACAGCTTATTATCTCTGAAGAGCATTGAAAAGCCGCTGAGATGTGGAAGCACAGTGCCTATCGTTGTGAAGTACACTCTGGTTGGGGAGACATCTAATGCAAACCCGTTACATATATATTACCTGGTGAGTTATTTATTAAAGGCTCAATATGTGCTGTCTAATAGAAGAAAAGTGATGTTATACCTATAGGTTGAATTATTCATGCTTTCAGAAGATTGTTTCCGGTTCTGGATTTGGAGAGATGACGCCCACACCCTGAGACAAATGAAACTGACTTTAGGTTTCTGCCTCTGCTTCAGGTTCTGTCCAAAGGCTCCATCGCCCGTGCTGGTCAGATGGCAGTTCCATGGTCAGAAGGCTTATGTGAGTTAGTGGGTGACTCCAGGTTTCATGATGCAGACGAGACATTGATGCCAGTGTTTCCACTGGTAACATTTCTCCCAGGCGCCCACCAGGCCAAAATCTTTACCACCGCGACAAAAACATCAATCCAACCAAGCAATCATCTAATCTAATGCCTCGGTGACTCACTCAGGAAGCCCGATTCCCTCCCTGTCCGCCTTGTATGCATTACAGCATTCGGCTGGTTAACAGCACTAATAGGCTACATGACACGGGCATTTAGCAGACACTCTTATAAAGCTGATGCTGTGAGGGAATGGGACCAAAACAGTAAAGTTCACCCATTAATCTGTCCCTCGGAGACCCAGTAATAGTAGCAGTAACTTTCTGACACAGCTCTAGCGTGAATGCGAACTGTAACAGATCACTGTATTTGGGAAGGGGAGGGGACTTATCCCCCTTTATTCACTTGGCAGCTGAGAGTACAGTTAGGCTGTGTGCAGTGCATTTAGACTGAGTCAAATACGCAGTTAGTGCAGTGTAGTTATGCTGTTGTTGCATTATTGAGTGAAACACTGCAGACTGGCAAACTATTGAGGACTTAAGTTAGCCACTACTAAACAAACATAGTTATTACTGTAACTGAAAAATAACTAGCCTGTAGGGTGACCACCTAATCCATGTCAGGAGAGACACTATGAGCTACTTCAGCTTTTACGAACTACTTTAAAGCTGAAAGGGTTCTGTGCTCTGCTAAAATGTTTGGTTAGTTCCTAGATTGAAAGACTCATCCAGCTGTTTTGCATTAACATTACTGACACATATGCATGATTATAGGAGACTGACCAATCAGCATACGGCAAGAACCCAGTGCTTAAGTGAAATCCTGGTCCTTTTAATTGAAATGTATGAAATGGTAGTTTACAAATCCTGTTGTAGCTCATAGTGTCCCTCCTGACATGGATTAGCTGGTCACCCTACTAGCCTGTATTAATTCATATAATTAATCTATAGACGAGAGAGGGAGTGTGCCACTAAACAATCATAAAAAATGTTCAAAAATGGTCAGATGTCTGCATTTTTTCAGTAGTGTCATCCCCAAGTCACGTCGCCCCCACAGCAAACACTTGATCCACAAGACACTCTGGATGTTCTACATAAAGAGCCAATTTTCCCACAGACACCGAAGGCGAGACGTCCTTTCTGCTGGAGGCCATTGAAGAGCTTTCTCCAATAGCCCAGGTTCTTGTCTACATGGTGCTGCCCAGTGGGGGTGTGATCGGAAATAACATGGACTTCTCCGTAGAGAAGTGCTTGAAGCACAAGGTGTGTATGTCACGTCATGATTTTGCTGTGTGCGTGTCTTCAAACAAGATGAAATTTGGAACAGGTTCATTGCATTGGCATGGTGTTCTTTTCGTGAGATGCTGGTCATCTGGGAGTCTGTGTCTGTTTAGGTGTCCATGGAGTTCACACCCAGCCGAGCTGTACCAGGGGAGAACGTGGAGCTGAAGGTCACGGCTCTGCCGGGGGCCTTGTGTGCTCTCGCTAGCGTCGACCAGAGCGTGCTGCTGCTTGATGCAAGCAAGCGACTGAGTGCCGAAAAAGTATGACAGTGTGACAATTCCCATCAAAACCATAACATTGCAGTTACATACCTGCAGAAATGAAAATAAGCAATATATATATATATATATTGCTTATTTTCATTTCTGCAGGTATGTATGTGTACACATACTGCTCAGGAGTTTTGCTATATATATATACTTGTAGTACAAAGCAGAGCATTGTTATGTATAATTACTTATCAGTAGTCCAGGATGACAGCTCATTTCTCTGCAAACTTCGATTTCTTGTTTTATATTTTTTTAACAGATCTTATTAAAAATTTGCCTGAATTGCTTTGCATTTTAGCAGTTAAACTGAATTTCTCCCTTTCGTGTTTTTCTGGGACAGATATTCGACTTGTTACCTGTCCAAAGGAGTGCAGAGCTGCCGTACTGGATGGACGAGGCTTCAACATGCATGCCTGTCAGATCAAAACGCTACCTTAGTTATGACAGAGACATATTTGCTCTAAGTAATTTTAGGGTAAGATTTTTTTTGTCTACAAAGCAAAACAGTGCTTGAACTGTTTCATGTTGTCATTTCACCATAAGGTATACATCAAATGTTTTGACATTTGATTTTTCTATCAGGATTTTTTGGTCAATCTATACAACATTCTAATAATTTATAAGAGAATATAATATAATATAATATAATATAATATAGAAAATAATACATAGAAAGTATTTAAATCACATGCTTCAGCGTCAGAGAAGTAAAAGTGCCTCAATTGTTCAAGTCATATTTAAAGAAAAGCATGTTAGCCAACAAACAACTACTTCCAATCTTTAAATTAAAGGCTGTGGGCCTGATTATAAAAATCATCACAATGAAGGAATGTTGATATATTGGCACAAACTTTTCTCATTCTGACTCCTTCCATGAAGTCATCTCTGCTTTTAGCTACAAATAAACAAAAAAGTAAGGATTTCACTGTAGCTGTACATGTGACAATATGGCTGTTAGCCCTAGTCTGATATTGGTGCCATTGTGGAGAATGATGTTTTTGAGCAATACAAGCTGTGCGATTTTATTACAAAAGTTACTGTCAGTTGAATCATTCAGAAATATTTTGTCTTCAATGAAAATTGTTCTAAAAAAAGGTATATAAATTTGAAGACTCAGGCTGTATTATCAAGACAAAGAAAAACATTTTAAATAAGTCACTCTTATTGTGCTAATTAATGAAAAGATTTCAGGTTTGCGGAAGTCCAAGTAAATGTTATAGATTATTGAAACATTTGTTTTTTATTGGAAACTCACTGGTTGAACCATGGAAAAGAACAGTAAACAGATATCTCAAATGCGAGCATGCTCCTGAAAACAAACAGTCCACCTTCAGTTTCCCGCACATCGGATCACTGTATACCCAGCCGGCCTTCCTTATCCTTCCTGCATATACCCAGCCGGCCTCCCTTATCCTTCCTGCATATACCCAGCCGGCCTTCCTTTTCCTTCCTGCATATACCCAGCCGGCCTTCCTTTTCCTTCCTGCATATACCCAGCCGGCCTTCCTTTTCCTTCCTGCATATACCCAGCCGGCCTTCCTTTTCCTTCC